CATCATTACGTTTTTGTGGACCACTCAGTGTTCGCTGAAGGATTGTTTACGTTCTGATGATGGATGATAACAAACTTTTACTAGAAAACAAGGAGAAATTCATACTAATCAAAGAATCTAATCTCGGCACAGAAGCACAAGATAAGTTTGAATCACATTAAATTCAACCCAGAAATAGACATTCATTTTACATTTTTTTTGCAAAAAATGTTAATTAAAACAAGTGGTTCACTATGGGATGCTGAAAGCTTTAGGGTTTTAATTTGGAACATCTGACTATATGTTGGATTTTGCTGTGCTTCCGTAATTGGTAATTTTCCGTTTGATTTAATCAATATTTTTCATAAAATAGATACTCAAGAGTTGTGAAAGGAAATGGATTTTACCGGATAATCGCTCCAGTTTTTCTGACCAATTACAATAATACCAATAGTGCACTAAAAGCGGTCAAATTTAATAAGAGGCGTAATGCATTAGGAGATGCCATTAGATAACGAATAGTATTGCGAACTCAAAGCTGACAAAAACTCATATGGGACTGATGTGCAGCCCTGTCTGTAAGAAAACTGACAACATATAAGTGCTTGTATACAATACCAACCAAGGGTCACAGTCTCGCCATTCAACGCTCAAAGCTTGAGGGTATTTGTTCAAATGAAATACTATATGGATGCGCATGAAAGCTAGTAGAATTGCCAGTCTTCTTGGTACGTTGTGTTCCATCGAACAGCTGAAATTTAGATGTGTTTTCCTGCAGATGAAGACGGATTATATAGGTTGTTGTATTATAAAACATGCAAAAAACCAAACAATAGCGATTGTTTTTATTAACGATAATTATAATGAATTTTCATAGCATAATATTTAAAATGTAACACACATTTTGGGCAACAATTATGAATTGGAACAGGTTTACTGAAAAAAGGATTTATCTCGAAAATTGAACAAAATGAAAGAGTAGCCGGCAGCAGACTAGTGTAAAAATCAATCACTCATGTCTGTTTACAACAGATACCGATCATACAAGAACAAATACTACTAATATTGACAAAATGCTTAAAATCTTCTTATAGTCTAGTCTAGTCTAGTCTAGTCTACACATACACAGCCAGTACTTGAAAGAATCCTGGAAAATGATACATCTATCATTTTTCTTGTCATTATTAATGCCTGCTGCACATCAAGGATGTGAAACAAACAATAAAGCGGCCAGGCCTACTGTGTAGCGTTTAGTTAATTTTTGTGGAAGTGAATGTTTACCATGTCTACTTAATAAGTATAGACAGTGGTTAACATTTAATCCACAGGTAATCAAAGAGCGGGGACATACCGTACCAACCGCTCCGTATGCTGGATTTGAAAATAGGCTATATAAATCGTTGGGAGTGACAGAGCTAAGAAAGTTAATGTACACTCCTTGGTTGTCCGATCTCCTGGGATGGAACACAGGTATTTACCCCTTGTGTTCGAGCGAACAGTCCTCCCTCCGTACAAGCGTGGACGGCACCGCCAACCCACTGCCATCCCTCAATCGATCCAGCCGACCTCAGTTGAAGGACAACGGAGAGCGGTGTGTGGACGTAACCTATACGGAGGGAATGCTGTATTCGCCTAGGTTATAGCGCCCTTGCTCGCTACCATTTTCTTCTAGCGGTTGGGACCTGAGCACTAACTCTTGTCCTAGCCCTATATGGCATATGGTTATAGCGCCATTACTCGCTTTCTGAAAAGAGAAGAAGGGAAGGGAAGGAGAGGAAAAGGACTTGGGAAAAGGAAATGCGGAATTCCTTTCCTCATTAGTATTTGTATCGTCAACTTTTATGAAAACTATATAAATCATTTTTCCTTGGTCAGAGGTATTATTACGACATTTGAATAAGATTGTCTTATCATTTGTTATTCAAAATTTAATGTTATAATGATCAACATAGCTTTGAATTATCTAATATAAATTGTCCTGCAACCGATTATTTTTCTAATCCGAAAACTAAAAGTTACGAAAAAGCACTTAGGCCTTCATTAAGTTCCACTTTCACGCGACGTTCAATGTTTCGCGGTTTGCTCTTTACGCATTGTTCAGGCTATCATAACAAGCTATGACCAACGTGAAGATTGCTTAAGCCCTGGTTAAACAAGTAAACAAGTTATTAAAATGAAATCATGTTCCCGAAAGCAGTCAACAATGTATCTTAAACCGGATCAAGCGTGCGCCCTATTTTTCTAAACATTCCGACGCGGTCCGCCCAATATCTATCAATTACGTTTTTCTACAATAGTAGCCTGGGATAAATCCTAATTCGACCGACACGTGTTTGTTGAAACATTATATTCTGCCTAATATCAGTAGTCAGTAGTCATTAGGAAACCTGTTACTATATTACCACATATGTATCCTTCTTTCATGAATTTGTCCACTGACTGGCAGTGGCATTATGGATAAAATCCTCCTGGAACCATCTTTTATATAAAAAAAAAAAAAAAAAAAAAATGCTTAAAATCTTCTTATACATTTTTAAATTGGAACTCAATAAGTTCTACTTGGGTCTCCTTTTTTGGTCACTTTTTGTGCCTTAAAAGTCACTTAATGGTCACTTTTTTACTCATTTTAGTCACTTAATGGTCCCTTTTTTACTCATTTTAGTCACTAAAATCACTATTTTTGGATATATTTGGTGCTATCAGCCCTGCAATTATCATTTTTTGATTCTCCGTGTAATTACAGATGATCTGGAAATAACGGACTTGCAACCGTGGGTGATCCTTGACGATCTTGCACGAGCTTTAACCTGGTTTCAACTTAGTGTTCTTGAAGTACTTCCACAATTAATAATTAAAAGCTGTCTATGCCAATCAATGAATGAATTTTTATATTGTGTTTCAAGCACAGTGATACGCTATGCTTTAGGGAATACTCATACTTGCCAATACCATGCCCTTACTTAGCCCATCTGAGACTCATGCTTATTGACATTACCTTTTTTGGCCAATTAGGTTCTGAGTTTTCAAATCTTCACAGCATTCATAAAAAAAAAAACATCTGTTCAATTGACTGCCTGAAGATAATATGATCGAAATCAAATCACCTCATCCGTATCCATCAGCATGCTACACCGTTCCGAGTGAAAGTCATGCCACCATAGGCAATCAGCATCCATCTTTATACCGAAACGGACATGCTTCGCGCGCGTTCAGCAGCGATCAATGACGCGATGACAATAATGCCATATCGCCTTGAATCCGCTCGTCGGCAATCTCATTCGCTTTCAATGTTACCGCTTTCGTTGAAACCCTTTTCCAACATACATACGTATGCACTGCTGCTGATTATGCTGATTATTTTCAATTGGCGCTGATAGTGGAATTGGTTCAATGCTGTCGTTTTCTCGGATAATGGGCAAAGTTTCTTCTTGTCTTGGTTGCATGCTAAACAAGGCAGCACTTTGGCTGACGCTTCCATGCAAACAGTGCACCTTCGTGCAAATGTAGCAGCTACATATGTAGCGAGGAGATAAAATTCAATTTTAGAATCAAACACAACAAACGAGCATACATATGTGGCGGGCGGAGGAGGAAAGCTACAATGTGTCTTGCGGTTGAGGGTTTTAGATTTGCATTTTCTTCACGCTTTTGACGATGGAATTGCGTGGCTGAATCATTGGAGGAGAAAATTTGTCGAGATTGGCAAGATTATTGCACTTGCAGGCATTGAGCTTACAAAACGGTTTGGAATATTTTCCGAGCGCTTCGATGAAAAATTAATTAATTTGCGAGTATGCGACGAACGACCTCCACAAGTGCATGGAGTGGAAACGGAGACGACATCCACGATTGGTTGGCACTCCTCGGTACCTTCTGGGTCATATTTAATAAATAATTGCATTTCATTAAGAAGAATTTATTGTTGTTTTCCTTCTGCAACTTATACTTATACTATAGTCTTGGCAAATTAGCTCAGAGCAACATCCAACGACGTCGTCGGAAAAAAAGTGATCTGGTGCTTGCCGCACGGTGGAATCCTCCCAAGAATGCTATTGTGTCCCAAAAGATGCAAGATGAAATATAACATTATTTCATTTTTTACCCCTTATTTTTCGTGTCGTCTCGACGCATGATTAAGAGGTAAAAAAAAGTACTACTGCTCCTTCGTTTGCAGCTCTAAATAACGATTCTTATATTTTTTGCCGAGCTGACATCTTTTGTACTATAACTTACTCGGACCATGATGAGTTGACCGTAGGAAGGACCCGAAGGCAAAATTAGCGTGGCAAAAGCGCAGCCATTCTCAAAATTGCGATTGTGACATTCGACTAATTTAGCTAATATGAGTTTAATGAAAATTTATGAATTCGTTTGCCTTTGGTTGACTGGCCTCTGCAGATGCGATGTTCTGCAACGTAATCGTATATGGGTTGCATTGGGTTGCATGATCACAGTCCCGGGTCACCTTCAAAATACGGTCTGTTTTTCTCCGACATGTTACAACAACTCCATTCTTCCAATTCAATAATCAATCTCCCAAACTCATTTGCATCCTTGGCAGAACCAAATTCCAAATTACACAGACATTCTGTCTGACATTTTCAGTGCCAAGCCGACGCAACCTCCATATTTCGCAACGAACCTCCTTTCCACTGCCGCCGCCACCGCACGGTGAGCTCGCAGAAATGCTCAGTATGCAATTAGCAATTAATTAACCAGCAAGTAATTAATTAATTTGTTTATGTGACTTCCATATCGAGGTTAAACAGGAAAGTTAATCAGTCGCGAATCACATTTGCATTTTTGGTCGGTCGCAAATTAAATCCAATTGAACGTCATTGGTCTGGTCTGGTCTGTGCCTCTTTATCGTTACAAACGGACGAACGAGTTGCAGCAGTCCACCCCAAATCAAGAGAAAGAATGCAGCAGCAAAAACAAAATGGCACACACCCGTCCGTCAACTACCCCCCCAAATGAGCGACAGCTTTTAACGAATGCCTTTTCTTTTGCCTGTCTTCCAGATGCTATCGGTACAGTCACCCGGCTGCGCGGGAATGGAGCGGCTCGGCGTTCCTGCCCGCAGTTCCATTGGCTCACCACCTCTCAGAGATGAACGGTAAGATCCCTAATGCTTTACATATCTCGATCCTTTTCCGAAAAATCTATCAACATTTTCCTCCCAATTCTCCAGAAGCCGACGATTACGAGTAGACCCCGGCGTTGCGTCAAACGGCGCCACCAGCAACTCTTCTGCCATTTACCAGCATCATCCCAACGTGCACCATCACAGCCATACTGCGCTTCACCACCACGATCATCTAATAGTCAGCAGTAGTACTAGCAATTTTATGAACAATCATCATAACCACCACGCCCAGCAGTACCATCAAACGACGACGTCCGGGATTCGCCAAAAGGATGCAACGGGAGGTAGTACCAGTTCCGGCGGTGGCGGTGGTAGCAGCAGCAGCAGTAGCTACGGTAAAGCCAACCATCATTTGCACCACCAGAGCAGTAGTAGCTTCTACGGGGGAAATAACAATCTGTGCAGCACCAGCATCAGTCGGTGTCCGCACCATGTGGCGCTGCCGGATGGCGAACGGGGACCGGATCGGGATCTGCAGATACGGTCGTCCTGTCAGGTGAGTCCAGTCTTAGGTCCTAGGATTTATTGGAAAAAAAAGATGTTTGGTAAAGGATCCGATTTCCAATGTATGTTAAGAAAGTATTTAGTTTTTCGATTTTCACGCTAAATATTTCACAGTTGGTTCACAAAAACTAGCATTTTAGCTACTATTTCAGCTAAAACCATAAAGTCTAAAAATGGTTACATTGCACAGTGGGCCACGAATTAAATTTTTCGGGATTGCATCTAATTGAATTGACGTCTTGAGTTAAATTTCTTGGATTTAATAGGACAATAATTTGGTACATACAAATAGTTAAAGTTTTGGCCGCAAAGATGGCGCAGCGATAAAAATGTTTTTAATTCGCCAGATAGAAAATTGCTGTCTTGGGCAAAGTTGTAGAACTTAGAATTTTATGAAAAATTGCCCCAGACATTAAAGCTGCAAATCTGCAAACCACTGAGATATACGAACTTTTATACAATTAGTCTGAAATTCTCGCGTAACATTTGAAAAGGGCCTATACTCGTTGATTGATTCTCTTCAACGACTTCCTCTTTGGTTTACCACGGCAACATAAACGAATTTATCGCTAAGTTCGACAGAAGATGATGTTAGCTTGCGCTTGAAACAACACACTGAATGTAAAATTCATATGCCGTCGGGTTATTCGCGAAAGAGAATCGATCAACAACAAAAGGCCCTTTTCTTGTGTTGAGCGAGAATTCACGTTTTTAGTATTATATTTTGAACAATCGCTCTAAAGGATTCTTTTATCACTTTTCCTCGATCGTTTCTGATCAATCCAATCTTTTTCAGATCAATGCTTTTATATTTACAGTACTACAAAATATGTATAACATGAAATTTGAAAAAAAAAATACTTGATATTCTGAATGAATTTTCAAAAAAAAAAATGCGCAAGTGGACGCAAAATGTCGTCATTTATTCACCATGTACATCAACCACACATTAATTCCTCAAAATATCCCAGAGATATATTTAAGATCGTAAAACGCCTCCTCTGCATCGATCACTGGCACATCTACGCCTGGCAACGACTTCTGCTTCTAATGGTTCGATACTGGATCTGGAAGCGTTTGCTGCCTACTGACCGACGAAACTGGTAACGACTTCGATGACTTTTGCGACGGTTGATTGATCTAAACGACCCCCAGAGCCAATCACTACTGGTACAACATTTCCGGGTTCTTCTCCGTTCGTTTATTCAGGCTCCTGATGCCCGCTTGCCAGACAGTCGATCAATGGCGTCGCAGCAATTGCAGTTCCTGAAGAAACGGATGGAGAAGGACCCGGAAATGTCAAAGATCCTGCAAGCAAAGATAGTCGAATATGTGGGGAAGGGGTACATCCAGAAGCTTACTGACGAAAAAATCAACCAGAAGATTCCACGATGCTGGTAAGTGCCGATCTTTCCTGTAACCGTGCGAATTGTGGGGAACGCAGCAGCTATCGCATATGGCAAGTCCTAGAACTCAGCGATGCTAAAAGGACCGGATCTGCTGAGCTCACTCCTCGCGATTTTACTCCAGTTTTGGGGACGCCGCATCGGACTGACTGGTGATATCCGTGAAATGTTCCAACAGGTAACGATCTGCCGAAGCCGAAGACCAGTTATGTCAGTGTTTCTTCTGGATAGACGACCATGGAGTGTATACGTGATGCAGGTGATGACATTCGGGGCTTGCTGCTCCTTTAGCACTGATCAGGTCGTGAAAAATGCCAATGCAGAACGATTCGCGAACAAAAATCCAGCTGCCTGCGAAGCTATCACGAAGCCACATTCCGTATATGATATGCTCGTCAGTGTGGATACCGAAGAGTAAGTCATCCAGTTGGCAGAAACCGACGAAAAATGTCTCGACTTATCTCAGGAGCTGGCCACTGAGCAGGTGTTAGGCATGTGGTGGAACACGAACAACGACGTATTCACCTACAAAGCGGGATGGAACCGCTACGACCCGGATCTGCTAGGTGGCTAATGATGTCCGACGAAGCGAGAAGTGCTGCGTGTCCTAAAGACCATTTTCGATCCGCTCGGCTTGATCTCCCACTTTATATCGTTCCTGAAGATCCTGCTCTACCTAATCTGGCGGTCCGGTGTGCAGTGAGACGATGAAATCGACGACAATTCATACGAGAAATGGAACACATGGTTGCAAATTCTACCAAGGGTTGAACAGATGTCAAATCCCTCGATGCTACAACTCCAAATACCCCACGGAGGAAGCCGACGATATCCAACTCCACACGATTGTGGAAGCCAGCGAAAATGGTAAGGCCGTCGTTTCCTATCTGCGTTTCGTCCGGAACGATAATTTGCTCCATCGTTGCCGCTAAAACAAGAGTCGCGGTTTAAGTTTACGTCGATCCCAAGAATGGAACTAGCAGCTGCAGTCCTTGGCGCCCACTTGGCTTGCGCTGTCGAAGGATCGCTGTCCATCCAGATCTGCAGGAAGGTGTACTGGTCAGATTCCCGAGACGTCCTATGCTGGACCATCGCCGCTATAACCAATACGTTGGTCACAGGATCAGTGAGATTGTAGAGATTTCAGAAGCACATGAATGACGGTGAATCCCGAGCAAGCTGAACTGCGGCGATGACGCTACAAAGTGGAGTTGCCTACCATATATGTCATCTTCTTGGTTCAAAGGAGCAGACTTTCTCTGGCGCGCTGAAGAAGATTGGCCGCCATCGCCAACATAGTGGATCTACGGAGAACGAACTTCCCCCTTCCTTTCTGGCTCATCACGCACCATCGGAACCCGTCATCAGTGTTAGCAACTACTCAAGCTGGAAGAGGCTGGTTAAGGTTGCAGCACTCGTTCCGATGAATATAGCGAATAACTGTCGCCTAAAGCACACCAGGAGACCGATTTGCACGGCACCACCTACAGCAAACGACTTGCTGATCACCGAGAGTTCGCTGATACGACTCGTGCAACAAAAAACGTACCCCGACGTTCCGATTCTTCCACAAATACTGTCCCAAAAAACAGCTCGCTATACCAGTTAACGCCATGGTTGGACGAACTACGCCACCGATGATGCGAAGCAGCCAATCATTCTCGATCGAAACCACCACACCACCACCAATCGTAGCATACTACCACCACAAATACCAACACTAAAACCACGAAACCGTTATCAATGAAATACGCGCCTGTTACGAGCGCGAGTACGGATGTATTGCCAGTAGGGCAAGAACCATCACATAGCACCCAGCCCACCGTACATGGCCGATCTTCAACCAGTTCGCCTCGCTGCCTTTTCACGGCCATTTACGCATGTCGGAGTTGACTTTTTCAGGCCGGTTGAAGTTGTCGTCGGAAGGAGAGTTGAGAAGCGGTGGACAAGGCTAGTCACCTGTCTGACAGTGCGGGCAATCCACATTGAAGTTGTACATTCGCTCAGTACAAGCTCCTGCATCATAGCGATCCGTACGTTCATTTCACGGCGTACTTACCTTACCAATCAGGCTAAGGCCTTGTTGTCCTCTGCTGTCCGAAGAAGTCGTCTCCACTCTACTCGATCCATGGCCACACTTCGCCAGCCTCGTAGTCTGCGAAGGGTCCGCAGGTCGTCTTCTACTTGGTCGATCCACCTTGCCCGCTGCGCGCCTCTTCTTCTTGTTCCTGTTGGGTCGCTTTCTAGAACCATTTTCACTGGGTCGTCGTGCGGCATTCTAACGACGTGCCCAGCCCACCGTAGTCGCCCAATTTTTGCAATGTGGACGATGGATGGTTCTCCCAGCAGCTGGTTCAATTCATGGTTCGTTCGCCTCATCCACGTTTCGTTATCTATCTGCACTCCACCGTTGATGTTACGCAACACCTTCCGTTCGAAAACACCAAGGGCGCGTTGGTCCTCCACGAGCATAGTCCAGGTCTTCATTTCACGACGTGTGCCTCCCCAATAGTTAACAGTGACCGTGGTACGAACTTCATCGGGGCAAATTGGAAACTGAAGCAAGCCAACGAAACAGTAAACCAACATGAACCGATGAGAGAGTTCACGAGCTCTGGAATCAAATTAGAGTTCAACTAACCTCTGTCGCCACACATGGGTGGTAGCTGGGAGCGATTGATTCGCACCGTCAAGAACAACTTGATGCTTGTTTGACCGTGGAAGAGGCCGTCCGATGAAGTACTCCGCGCCCCGTAACGAGGGTAGATCACCTTTTCGTGGTACATAATGGGATGCAAGATCTACCACCGATTCGTAGTCCTGACTTCTTCAAACTAGGGGAACAGGATTTTTCAGTAATCCAAGGAACACATCTTAGTCCTTGTTACTTTTTATGCCTTGTTGATAGTGACAAGACTGGCTTTGAAACAAGGAAGAAATGAGTTAGTTAGTCTTCATCTATGTGATTCCTAATCTTCCATTCGTTGTTCCATAGTTTGAAGTGGTTAAGACTAGGGTTCTGATGCATGGTCATAACCGGTACTCCGCAGTCAGCTAACCGAAGTGGAGAACACCGTCAACTCGCGTCCGCTAACTTACGTGCCGATAGATGAGGATTTGGCTCCAGTGTTGATCCCGAATCACTTCCGTGCTCGTTCATCCGTTCATCGTTCAAAACCGATCACGAGCCTCGATGATAACGTGCAGCCCTCAGGCAGAATTGATGTACGTCGCAGATTTTAGCAAACCAATATTGAAGGCGTTGGGTGTTGGACTACCTTCAAGAAATCACTCGCCGAACCAAGTGGTTTTGTCATACAAAACCGATCGCCGTGGGCGATATTGTAGTCATCGCTGATTGCAATATGCCCCGTAATTGTTGACCGAAGGGGAAAGTTCTAGACGTCCGGTTCGAAGGAGAGTTTGTCGTACCCTGGAAGGAGCGTTGGTTGTACTGGCTTGAGCGCACCTACCGTTGGATGCCTACGTGTGCCAGAACATCTCTGCAGTGGGTTTGACAGCGGAGTGAGAGGTACCGATCTGACACCGGGGTGAGTAGGAAGATGATGAAAACATAGGCAGAAAG